TAGAGGTTGTAGCTAATAAACATTGCTGAACTGAATCTGTATGGTCTCCTGGAGTTCCTTGGGCTAGGCCTGACAGCTATAAGCTTATCGCAGCTTGCACACATATAAAAGGGGGAAGGATATAGACAGTTGCAACAGTTTAACCGCAGACTGTAGGAACTATAGGAACACAGTGACCTTCAAGATGACATGTGAATAGGAGTCCCAAATATGGATAATTGTAAATAGGGGCAAGGGGCTTTGGAGTAGAGTAGTGGGAGATGTAAACAGGGGCGGAGATTCACGTGGGTAGTTTAGGTGCTTCGAATAGGGTATAAGCTCCATAGTGTTTGACCAATGGGGAACAGGGGGGTGGGGGAATTGGGAAGTATAAAAATTGTAACCAAACTGTGCTCAGGGCTCTGGCCGCCTTACAGGCTGGAGTCCTTTTGTTCTGGTACCTTAATAAAAGCAAACTTCCTTCTGCACCTCATGTTTGGATGTCTTTTGGCTTCAACACCAAGCTCAGACCCGTTTTGTGGCACAACAATAGCATTGTGCAATGGTAAACCAAGACTATCCATCCCACCTATTTTTAAGACCTTATACATATCTTTAAGCTAATAAGAGCTATGCAGGTCACATACACACACATACTACAATTCAATAATCAAATTTCTGATCAATAGCAAATTCAATAATATTTAACATGGGGAGAAAAAGAGACAAAAATTGGATAAGCAGTCTTTACATATTAAATCCTGTGTAACAGATAAGATTTAACCTAAGAAAGGAAATACATCATAGGATTTCATCTCCATGGTCACATTTCATCTCCATGGTCACAGAAAAGGCCTGGGAAAGACTGAAATAGAGGAAATGATTTCTGGAAACAAACCTAATGTCTAAGTGATTTTCTCATGCTTATCTCAAGCAAGGTTGTTTAACCTGCCCTTATTTGTTGGGAAGCTGCATATGTTCCCCAATGAATACTCCAACACTGAAGTCCCTAGAAAAACTCATATTTAATTTTTCACAATCAATTCTTTCTTTCTATAAAAATATGTTGCAATTATATGTACGTTTCTGAAAAGGGGAAATAATGCCATATTCTTCTCCCACACTATGCAGTTCTTAGGAAGTGAAAGCAATCCTTCTGTTTCTGGTGCTGTGTAACATGAAACCCATATTATTAAAGGTAATTTAGTGTTGCTTTCAAGCAAACAATTTATAAAGTATTTTTATACCAAACAATCTTACCATTTCAACTGATCCATCTTTTGGGTAATACAGAAGTTCATAACGCCGAAAAAGTGAAGCATTAGGATCATACCATTCTGCAATGAAAACATATCTTTCATCTTGGCTCTAGAAAAAAAAAGTCAAATGTATGAATTTTGTAACAATTTCAGAAATGACAATATGTTCAATATTTCTTCTAATAAAACCGGATGCAACAACACTGCTTAGTTGTTTGGGGTAAAAGGCATCAAGATTTCTCAAAGATAATAATCTGGCACCAAAAGTTGGAATTTTAAATAAGGAATATTTGTTTTTTAAGTGTTTCTCCAAAAGTATGGATCATTTCACTTTTTTCATCAAGCAACTATTGTTGTTCAGTTAAAACTGTACATACTATTGATTATTTGGACATTATAGTATAAAATCAAGACAGATGCCTATAAATATACACATTTTATTATTTATAGACTCTGCCTTTTCAGACTTTTCTGAGATTTCTAGAAAACTATATTAAGTATTTCCATTAAGTTTAAGTATTACTTTTCATACAAAAATAGGTTTCTGGACTAACAGGGTTTGGACAACAACAATAAAAGTTTCCAGACAATATTTATGGGACTTAGTTGTGAAGATGTGCCCCACAAAGAGACATTTTCAGGCTTAGATATAATATCAATACAGGTGGTATTATTATTTATTAGATTATACAATAGCTGTACAACAATCTTCCCAATCCAGTGCTCTTCCCACATGTTGAAATAGAATTCCCAGACATCATGGCTGCGACTATGTGGGAATTGTAGTTCAAAACATCTGAAGGGCTCCAAGCTGGGGAAATTTTTTATCAGGATTAAAGACTGAAGTTTTGAAAAGTTATACAAATCCACAAATGCCAAATATATATATAATTTTTATTAAGAACTTGGATTATAATAGTAAAATCTAATACAAACTAAACTTAAAGAAAGAAAAGAGAATAGAGAGAAGGAGTAAAACATGCAAGGAAAAAAAGAAAACAAAAGAGAGAAGAACAAGAAAAATAAGAATATATGAGAATGATTTAGAAAAGGATGTTTCACTGAATCTACAAAAGAAACTGGCTGAAGTTTTAAAATTTAAAAGGGAAATACAAATGATAAACCAAGAGAGTGACCTGGATAACATTTTTCTGGATTTACAAAAGAGGCTTGTTAAAACCTTGAAGAACTCTGTGTGATGGGACAAAGAAGAAATGAAGAGAAATCAAATCCTACAACA